AGCCATTATATTTTAGGAAGAGCTGCGGTGGCGCAGTGGTTAGAATGCAGTCCTACAGGCTACTTCTGCTGATCACTGGCTACCAGCAGTTTGGCAGTTTGGGTCAAACTGGCTTAAGGTTGACTCAGCTTTCCATCCTTCCGAGGTGAGTAAAATGAGGATCCAGATTGTTGGGAGCAATTTGCAGACTCTGTAAACCTCTTAGAGAGGGCTACAAAGCACTGTGAAGTGGTATATAAATCTAAGTGCTATTGCTATATAAAGCCAGATGGAACACTTCTGGACCCTCAATCTCTCAGACAACACAAAATACACTATTACTCTTACTTGCAAGCCTGATTAAATCAGATGTTTCCAATGCCTATACTTTATATAACATCTGTAACTTTCTGCTCTGAAAGTTAAAGGAAGATGAATTGTATATAGTATTCTGGTTACAGCATTACAGATGTACTTTAGGATTTTAGTGATGCTAGATCAGGATTTGAAGGAAAAGGTTCAAAATGAGTGTAGCTGCACAACTCCAAATATCATTTTCTATGTGCAGCATCCTTTTTATCTAACCTGACTACCTCTCTGATATAGTACCTCTGTGCTTATGACAACAAAGTAATCAACATCCTCAAGCTTTTCCAATGGAGCCAACTTCATATTGTCATCTTTATTTTTTAAAAGGTGAAGAGTAATATTTTAACAAATTTTGGGATGGAACTCTTAATGTATCAAAATGAAATTCAGCAGGGTTAAAATCTTGTAAGTTTAGTGCTTCTATCATTCCTGCTGTTCCATTCTCTCCTACGAAAAGCTTGAACTACTTGCAGGAGTAGTTATTCTTTCCAATTATAGTATACAGAGAGATCTTATTCCAAATTAAATGAGCAGAGATTAACATTAAACCAACAATCAAGAAGCAAACAATACCCCAATCAAGGAACTACCAACTCATTCAAACAAGCTAACAGTAAACAACTCAATCAAGGAGCTATCAAGATCACTCCTACCACCCCTACACTGACAGAGCAAGCCACTAATATATAAAATGAGAACAAGCTCCATTCCTTACTAGCACTGGTGATGTTACCTACTTTGATAATAAAATTTCTTCAAGAAAATAACCAAACTCAGAGAGTACCAAAGACCTCAAAATTCAGCCTTGAGTTGCAAGTATTCTCTTCCATGGAAATCAAATTTCATCTCTCCACATTGCTTCAGCTGAATCAGCTTCTTCCTGAATCTTAGGAATCATGGTAGAAGATAAGTTTCCCGTTCCTGCCAAAAGCTTTATTAGAAAATGCAAATCAAATATTTGATGAATATTAAGAGCCTTTGGGATGCTACAATTAACACTACCATTGACACCAAGAATCAGACTGAAATCTAAAAGAAGTCATTTAAGGTAAAGAGAACTCAGGGAACATTAGCTGCTCTAAAAAGGTAGCAAGGGTGTTATTTGTTATTAAAATATATAAAACGCTTAGGGGTTGTGATATAAAGTAACAAAGACTGCTAGAAATTCACATCTCTCTCTCTCTCTCTCTCTCTCTCTCACACACACACACACACACACACACACACACAATTCAGAAAAGGAAAGATAGTATAAAAGCTGGACTAGAATACAATGGTCAGAAATGAATGCAGAAACAGCATGATAGTTAGGAAAATGTATCACAATATTTATGAACAAATTTTCAATGGTTTATTAATTCCTTTACAAGAAGAACTACAGCAACAGCCTGAAATGCCAACCTCTGAATTATACTTTCACACTCCAGTTTCATAGTACCAGGATTTGTATGAACCCAATTTATGAGTAAAGGTGATTGTTCCATGAAAAGTCTTAACTTCCAGGAATACTAATATCCATTCCCTATTCCAGGCAAAAGTCTATTTTTCAGAAGAATGTCAAAAATTCCAATTTCACAGTCAATCAAACCAACCAAATTCATCCATTGCATACAAGAGCAGCTTTGGATAGCTTTTCAAAATTATAATGACTCATGTTGAATAATCTTATTTCATGGAAAGAAGCTAAGATGCATTACATTCGGCAGCCATGTTACCCAATTCATTCGTGTGTATTCTTCACATAATGTACAGCATGCATGTTGAAATTATATTAAGACTGAACTCTATGGCACTTCACAATAACGGCTATCAATAGAAGTAATTTCTTAATAAATATGAATAGGATTAAACTGCTAGTCTGATTTAAGTGAAAAACCTATATTGCTGAAATGAGTAAAAATGGTATAATGGTATTAAATTCTGAATAACATGAGGCAAATAAAGCCATTTTCAAGGACCATGGAAGTGTCTAGGACAGGGGTGTTAAGCTCAAAGCCCGTGATCTGCATCTGGCCCATGGGGTGCTTAAATCTGACCTGAGGGTCCACCTGGCCTACAATGCCTCTGGCAGCAAAAACAAAGGTCCCAGGAGGGTCCAAGGCCCCATTTTCCCAGGCCTCATTTTCGGCTGCAACAGCCTCCTGCAGCCCTCTGCCAGCAAAAAATGGAGCTCGGGGGGAGGCTGTATGCTGTCCCACGCAATTTCCCCAAGCTCTGTTTTCACGGGCAGAGGGCTGCAGGAGGCCATCACAGCCAGACACGCCCACCCCAGCCTCCTGAGGTCAAACACAACCCTGATGTGGCCCTCAATGAAATCGAGTTGGACAACCCTGGTCTAGCAGGTCATATAAACCCAGGTAACTAAGCTATCTATACTGAAAGGCCCTCTAATGGTCTCTTTCAACTGGAAAGCATGTTCATGTGACAAAATACAGACATTTTGGTAATAAAAATGTTTAAAAATCACACTGAAAATGCATTTAAAGGACCTTTTAAAAACTGCACTGAAAATGCATTTACGCATTATACATGTGTTCCTTCAGAAAGGCTATAAGAAGCTATTTATTCATTTTTGTATATGCAATGTTTATCTCACTTTTCCATTCATTCAGGACAATAAATAACCATATGAGTAAATAAAAAATGCAATATTTCAAAAATAGGAAAATAATACTCCTTAATACTCTCCCCAAGTTTGGTTGTTACTTGCAGAAATTTTATTAGCTAAGCAATATAGGTTGTTAGGTACCTCCATAATTAGGTTACCTAGTCAGGTAAGGAAATGTCTATCAGCAAACGACCAAGCTCTGAGAGCACCAAAGATTCCACAATTCAACCCTGAGCTACATATATTCTCTTCTATTAATAATATAATTAAACTACATACTCTAAAATTATGAATATTAAATGTGTGGCTAAGGAAAGATCCCTTAGCAGCTCTTATAAAATCAAACAGAGTGCTTGCTCGGTGAAATTCTCAAATAAATGGTTTTGAAAGAATGGAAAAGAATGTTTCTTTTAAGCATGGGACTTGGGGGAGGTATCTCTGCATCAGGTGTAGGCTGCTGGAGGTTCACAGGGGTTCAGAAGAGCCCCTAGCTAATATTCTGTGCAGTTCAGAGAACCCCCAAATCCCACTTCTGCCTGGTCCCTCCCCTCCCAGGACTCCCAACACGGCCTGTTTTGGATGCAGGTAAGTGCAGGGCGAGCGTGGAGGCTTGAAGAGGGTGAAAATGGGCCTCCCAGAAGTTCTGGAAGGCTAGAAATGGGCTCGTTACTGGCCATTTTCACCCTCCCGGAGGCTCAAGGAAACTCTCCGCAGCCCAGGGAAGGCAAAAATGCCCTCCCCCACCATGGTGCAGGAGGCTGACTAGGCCACACCCACTATGGCCACGCCCATCCAGCAATCAGGCAGAGAAACCTTTGCTAAAATTTTTGAAGCCCACCCCTGCTCTGCCTGTTCAACACCCATCCAGAATTAGATTTTGCTATATCTATTCACAACCTTTTATAGAGTAGTTTACTTCATCCCATACCTGGGAGTCCTTACTTTCAAAACAAAGGATAGATAAAAATTGCTCTTTCTTGCAGCTATCTGATTGCCTCAATGAAACTGTAAATGCATATCTACTTATAGGAGAGGTGCTTATACTTTGAGTTTGGGTAGATTACTTAGTTTATAACTATTACCATACTAGCTTTCTCTCTTCCCTATTTAAATATATTATTTGGTTTGGATATATAAGTTGATTGTTCTCACAGCTGCAAATGTGCAAATATGGAACCTAAAACTAATTTAATGGGTAATGCACTATATCTATTTAGACACACAAACACAGACAAACATATACCTTAAGCCTAGTTAATAATGTATTTTTGTTCTTGGATTTCTTACAAGTTTATAACTCTCGCCGCAAAGTAAGTAGATTCATATATAGTTTTCTTTTTATTAATACCATTATTCCATTTGCCCATAAACTAAAACCATAATAATTTTTATTTATCAATCCTCTATAAGTATCTAAATAAACAGAAATGTATAAACAAGCACAAATACAGTAAATGTGAAATTGAAATAAATGACTAAAACATTCCATACTTGAATAAAGCTAATAAAAGCATACAGCAATTGATCTTGCATAGCAACAATAGATTGTAAAATATTCTACATTTTATAAACAGAGGATTGCATAGCCATGGAAATGAATATGTCAGCAACTTCTACTCAAGGTCTCATCAAAGGAAAAGGTGTAACAGTCCCCTTCTGTTTGTAGTACAGGAAAATATGCAAATATATTTAGGAATGCTTCCAAAATTCTCATATTTCAGCTCTTGAAGATCTGGATCTTGCTCATATATGTTTTTATTTTGCACCTCATGTAAGCTGCCTTGATAATGTGTTGAAGAGTAAGATGAAAATATCAAAATGGTAAAAGTTTTTAAAATAACTATGGTGTTTAAGGAGCTGTCACTTGAGTGACGGTGGTTTTATACACAACTTCCTCAAATAAGTAAACTTAAATAGCAAGTAAATAAGACACTTTTTATTTATTTGTATTAACTAAAAAATGAAGCACCCTTTCAATGTATCATTTTTCTAAAAATACTCTATATTTCTACACAATCTATGAATGATTGTATAAATCTCTTACCTTGCAATAGTAGAGTTGTTGCAGTATTAATTTCCTTTTGTGTTGGAAACCGGCCACAGTCTCTGAAAAACTTTGGGAGCTCATTTCTATCTATTTCTTTCCAGGCCACTTTCTTTTGAAATATAGTTTCATAAACTAGGACACAAAATAATATATAGATCAAAAAGGCTCATTTTGTTATTGTATTGGGGTTGTTTGAAGTTTTGCATCCAATTTATCACACATGCCTTTATTTATTATGTCTCTGTATCATATCTAAGTAAAAGTTTGTGTGTGTGTGTGTGTCGGACTCCTATTGAAAGTATTCATTCTGTAAAAGAAATCTCAAATATTTGAGACTGGATCATGGTTTCTTCTGAATAAAAATCCTTAATGAGAGAGATATTAAGCCAACTTCAGGAATACTACACATATCAAAGCTGTTCTTCTTGGTAAGTTTTCCTGCTACAAATTTGTAGTTATAATAGGAATTTTCAATCCAAAATTTTATATTTCAAAATTTTGGATTTCCTCAATCAGGATATCTAAAAGGCAACTGATATTTTCACAGTTATTTGCAAAACAGATACAAGATCTGCTTTCACTATATATAGGAAAAAGACATAAGACATAATAAGTCTTTTCATGATCTGTACTGTGCCTATTTCCATAAATTACAACCATCTTTAATAAATGGAATCCTTCCACAAATTTCATCAGCGTATCTTCCAGCTTTTTATTAGCATTCATATGTTGGTAACAAACTGATAAATATTATCCTCATCTATTTTGTATAACTGTATTGTAGAATTCTTATGTTCTGTGGGTAAGATAATCAAGACCAGTGTTGCTATGATCACTATGAAAGATTAAACTAAAACTATTTCATAATATCTAAATCATATTCACATGTATTATATTTTAATTTTAAAGACATAATATATAGTTCCTCTGCCATTTGATCCAAATGCACAGTCCACATTTGGTACTTGAGATTCTTTTTTAAAAAATTCCAAAGACATGCTTTGGACCTGATCTGAACAGAGTACCGTGGTACTACTCATTAAATAGTCCAGTGCTTTTTCATGCTTCCAAGTGACCCTGAAAATACATCCTTCTTTAAGGAGTAGAGCCACTGACACCTCAAAAAAGGTATGGCTGAATAAATGAATAGCAGACACGTGTTGTGCTGACATCATACTTATTCCTAACTGTTTTCAAAATGTGCACAGCTCTGCTAAATGTATCTTGTAAGATCTCTTTTTCTGTTGTGAGAGATCTTGATTATTTTACAAGATATATCCACTATCAGTTCTTCAATTACATAGACACAACACTTTAGAAAGGTTGCTTAGCTTTAGCTTCCACATCAGTAGCATAACATTTAAACTTATGCTCAGTTATCATTGCAGTGAGTTGAGTATGATATGCTAATGTCTCAGAATGTTGCCAAATAATGCATCAATTCTGAATGAAAACATTAAGACTGAAGTGGATGCTAAATGGGTTTTTTGCCACTTCTTGTTTGCAACTTGCCCTTTTAGCTTTTGTCAGTACTTTCCCCAGGTTATTTTGGAGTTCCAGCTAAAGTTTCTCAGACAAGGAAGTACAGGAAGGAGAAAAGATAAAGAATTTTAGCAGGCTTCTTTCTGGTTTGTTTGTTCGCTTGCTTTTTGTTGGAGATGTCTGAACGTCTACCTTTTTGGTACTGAAATCCAGAAAGCTACTAGCAACATAAAGTACTCCATCAGAACACACAGTTTTGCAACACAGTGCTCAGGAAAATAGTATTTTACCAAGATATATCCTTACTGCCCAGAATCTAACAGTTAGTCACATTTCACATTTAAATGAAAATGATACAGATTACATTTGGGGTTCCTGCAGGGAAAACATGTGCTCTATTACTAAACTATGGTGTCTCTTCCAAAAGACATCATTTATATTAGTAATTCTACTAAAAAAAAGACAACGCCTTTCAAATAATGCAAGCAACCTCAATTAAAGCTACTGAATAGTTTTTTAAAAAATTAACAGAGATATGACAATAATCTCAAGAGATTATTCTGAAAAATACATACGCAGTTTATTGTCAAGCCAGTCTTCCAGTTGTTCAAATATTAGTGGTGTACTTGTATCCAAGATGCCACAACAGCGTTTAATTCGAAACATCATTTTACGATAATCCTTTATAACAGCTAATATATTTGGTCCATGGCTCTTAGCCTGTAATTACAAACATATATATGTGTGTGTGTGTGTGTTTGTGTGTGTGTGTGTGTGCACTTGTGTGTATACATACATACATACGTACGTACGTACATACATACGTACATACATACATACATACATACATACACGTAAAGTGTTATTGGGAGAAACAACTTTTTCAGGGTAAAAAATTATGCATTTTACAGGTGCATAAAATAAGAAAACCTTCTAGAGGTTGCCATAAAAACAAAATAAAAATCCCTTGTGATAATTGCATTTTGACACTAGTGACTAAAGGATATTATGGCAAAGATCAAAGTCTGCCAAAGTTCTATGAAAATGTTAAAAACCTGGTAGCAGAATATACTAGATGTCTATGAGATTCTCAGTCATCCAGGTCATGGTTGTCCCAAAGAAGCCTCCCACCCACTTTTGTTTTTTAACAAAAGGCATCTGGACTTTGCTAAATATCTGCCTATCCGCAAAGGTGGAAGAGAAAAAGAACCAAAACACAACAAAGGTGTATTGGTTTCTCACACACACATACTATTTTAACACACACACACACACAGAGAGAGACAGAGAGAGAGAGAGACAGAGACAGAGACAGACATAGACATAGAGTAACAGAGTTGGAAGGGACCTTGGAGATCATCTAATCCAACCCCCTGCTCGAGCAGGAGAAGAGACAGAGACAGACAGAGAGGCAGAGAGAGCAGAGGTAGAGAGGCTACAATGCAAAATTAGCTAGAAGACAAAAAGAAGCCAGGAAAATCATAGTATGGCTGGAGCAAGATATAGATTGTTGTGTATAACAACTTGATGATAGGTAAAATGAAGTCCGTATTGAGTCTGAGACTGCGGACAAGACATTTTTGTGCTAAATAGAAAACTGACCTTTTAGTAGACAAGACTATTTGTCCAAATAGCCCAGTATTGTCTAGTAAAGGCTCTAAAATTCATTGGGCATTCAGATGAGTATAGGGATTATTTCTTGTATAAATCAACTCTGCACCTTTCACATGTTGAGACTAATATTATTTTATATAAATCATTACTGTTCAAGCTGGACAAGGTACTAGCTCGTAGTGCAAACATATCAGATATAATCCATTATAGTATATCACAACATCTCATATTAATGAAATTCAAATACATTACCTTCAGTTTTATTCTGTTCAATTTACTACGTTCATACCATCCTTTGAAAAGTTTTTGAATACAGGTAGCAGCTGAAGCAATTTTTTCTGTTGTAGGAACTTTTCTGACTTTTTTGAAAGCTTCATATATGTCTAAATGTGGCCCAATCCTTTTCACTTTCTCATTAATTATATTAACGTGTCTTCGTCTTCTAGGGAAGGGAAAGGAAGGGAAGGGAAGGGAACGGAAGGGAAGGGGAAGGGAGGGAGGAAGTTAGGAAGGTATTGCTTTAAACTAAATGTAGTGCTTAGAACCAATTGCAATAAACATGGAAACAATGGATAATTGAATAATTCAATACAAGAGAGTGGAAATGGCTGGAAGTTGGAGAATATGAAGCAATATTGCTATCTAATCTATGGCTGAAATCCAAAGAGGCACTCAAAACAATGCAGTTTATTCTCTCATACATGGTTCCAATTGATTTTGGGGTTCAACACTGAAATAAAAATTTTATGTATGTAAATGCTTTAGAACAACACCTGCTACACTGCATAGAAACTGTAAAAGAGAGCTTCACACATTAAAACTCATGAGTTTTTAACTCACATTACTTTAAAAGTCCCTCAGACTTTTGTGGATATATAAAGTGTCATAAATTTTCTGAGAAAAACAGCAATGTGAGAGTTCAGGTAGATTAAGGAATATTATGCAAAAGAAAAAGATACCTGTAAGGAATATTGAAGAATGTTTCTGAATAAAATGGATCTGGCTAAGGCAAAGGGCAACAGAAATATAACCAATTGATTTATTGGTTTAACCCACAGGTGTCAAACTCGACACATCACATTGCTATCATGTGATGCATTATGATATTTTCCCCTTTGTAGAGCTGGGGTGGGTGTGCGTGCACATGATGGAGGGCCGCCAGTTTAACACAGATAGAAAAAGAGATTATTGAAGAAAGGAAAAGTTTGTGCCTGTATACACACATGCACACACACACACACACACACACACACTTCCTAGGTCTGAAAGTTCCATTCAATATTATTTTGAAAGCCATAATGGCAGGGACAAGTTCAGAAGAAGTTGGACAAAAAACATAATATTACAACTGTTTTCGGCAGCAACATTATCATCATCATCACTAGAACTATTTACATCAGTATTATTAACTTCTTCATGATCGATATTTTATTATTTTTCATTATAATCAAGCTAACCAGTAATGCTTTCATTTACCATCTGTCTTCTCTTATAATTCCAAATGCTTTGTTGAAATGAAACAGAAACAATTGATTTAATTTCTGGATTTCAGGGAGTGGGTTACACTGAAAGGTTCCATTGTTTGGGAGCCGTATTCAAACTTTCAATATTTATCCCACCATACTGCTGAAATTTGCCCTGATTCTATGTTCGAATGAGATCATATTTCTATGTTTTAATGCATTATTATAAATCCTATTGCATTTACATTTTAATGCTGTACACCATATGAAGATGTTTTGCATTGTAGTGAGACTATAAATATTTTAAATAACTGTATCAACTCAAAACCATAATTAAAAAATATAAATACAATTTATACTAATTTCCTTCCAAGCAATTTAGTTAAAGCTGGTGAAATATGCTTCTGTTATTATCATCCCAAATATTTACCAACTAATGTGACTGATAGGAGTTCATGCATAATTCCCCAATAATTTGGATGCTGTATGTAGTCATTCACTTTTTAGTGAATGCTGGTTAACATATACATTCACATATTTAAATAGTGTTGTAGAAGAGACAGGCTGGCAACACAAGCAGTAATATTTCCCTGGCATGTGTTTCTTTGCTGCTGTTCTCAATCATGTTTTTTTCTACTTTGTTTCATTTTAAGATACAGAAAGGAGTGTAACAAGGTTGCATTCTCTCCCCTTTCTTATTCAATCTACAATATATGCTAGAATGATCATGAGGAAGCTAGATCTTGAAGAATCAAAAATTGGGGTCAAGTTTGGTGGAAGAAACATCCACATTTCTTTCTGAACATCAAAAAGGCCAAGCTCGTGATCACTGCAAGGTATGGAAACATCAACATTGACAATGAAGAAAAAATCACTTTCCTAGGATTGCAGATAGCTCAAAGCTCTGAAGGCAGCAGATTGCCCTGGCTTCAGCAATGATGACATGAGACAAATATGAAAAAGTACAGACATTAGCCTGGCACGGCTTTATTGTGTTCTCCATAGCCACGTATAATTGTGAATGCTGGACTTCAAAAAAGTAATACAGGAAGAAAATCAACTCATTTGAGCTGTGGTGATGGAGAAGGCTCCTACATATTCCTTGGACAGTAAGAGTGAGCAAGTGCTAGAGCGCATAACAACAGACATCACTAGAAGGCAAAATCAAGAAACTGCATCTCACTTACTTTGGCCATGTCATGCAGGGAAATTCATTGAACAAAGCAATTATGTTTGGAAGAGTTAACAGTAAAAGGAAACCAGGCAATCAAAGAACATGATGGCTGGATACCATCAAAGCTGACTCAAGCCGCAACAAAGAAAGAAGATCGGAGATTTTTGAAAGGCCTGGCCCATAAAATTACCAAGAATCAGACACGACTAAATGGATAACATAATCATCATCACTTTGTTTCATTACATTTTTCATTGCTTACTACTATTTATTCTGTATCCAAGTACAGTATATACATTGGTTATTTAAATTGGTTAAACAAAATTAAAGGTTTTTGGATCTTATCCCAAATCAATTTCAAGCTTTGAAATTCTAGTCTTGGAACAATCTATTTCACACCAAAATGTTTCAAATGTAAAACCTTTCCAATATCTATATATGCCCACTCCTCATTTGAATAAAGAGGAGTCAAGACTCCTACTGTATGAATCTTGAGATTGATATGTTTGACATAGCTGTGCTCTATGTGCAGTCTACATTCCACCCATACTCAACAAATAAACTGTTCTATGTATACATACTTGCCAAGGATACAGTTGTGGTAATATAGTATTCTTGTACATTAGTTACTGTATTTTTCTGCTATATTTCTTATTCCACTGGGAAAGCAAATCTTTTTTCAAAATCTTACAACTCAGTAACTAGAGGGTAATTGCTGTGATATCACTCCTGTAATATGTATAATAACAGTTTATATGCCTGCCTGCCTGCCTGTCTATCTATTATCTATTTTCTATCTATCTATCTATCTATCTATCTATCTATCTATCTATCTATCT